AATTTTAGGACAGAGTTCTGCAAACTGCAGCTGGGGTGCCACATATCGCCTGCCGCCGGCTTTTATAAACACAGGTTGGTTGGAACACAGCCACACTGACCCCTGCTCTAGGAGGCCACTGGCTAGTCCCCATCCTCCCAGCCTGACTTCTCGCTTCCCAACCGGAGTTCCCAAGGGTGCTGACAATAATGACCAAACAAACATGCAAATAAAACTGAACCAACGTGGAATCATCAAGGCAATGGTTTTGACTTCCAGGGAAAACAAAATAGAAACAAACAAACCACGTCCCGTGCACCTGCCTCAGAGTGCAGTGTGGCTACCGCTTCAGGGTGTGTACTCTTCCAGTCCAGGGCAGGAATTTAGGGATCCAAGAGGTCCATTAAAATCTTCTCAAGACAAGAGAGTAATGTTTCTCCACAGAGATGCCAGGCTCCAGACCATTAAATATTCATTCAGTCACCCCTTTGGCAAGTCCTCAGGGAGCCCCGGCTGCAGGCCAGGACTGGTGATGGCTTGGGAATGTAATTGACATAAAATTCACTTGTCGTAAGTGCGCAGATTTTTGATTTCGGTAAATCTATAGGGTTATGTAGCCATCACTGCAATTCAGATTTACAACAGATTTGTCACCCCAAAAGGTTATTTCTTGCCCATTTAAAGTCAATCCCCACTCCTACCCCAGCCCCTGCCAACACTGGACTGATTATAAGGGACAGGTTGCTACCCTTGGAATGAACAGCCCATTTGGTGAGATGGCATTAACTAAATAAATGCACAAGTAGACATATAAATGCAAATTTTAGTGAGAAATAGGATTGGGGAAGAACAAGAGAGGGCAGTCCTCTCTGCTGTGGTGGTGCCTAAGCTCTCTCCGGATGATGGAGAAAGGGAAGGACCACACACTGAGCACATGCAAAGGCCCCTAGGTGGGACAGTGGTGTCATTTTATTGCAACCATTTTATAGCAACCATTGGCAGTGTGTCTGGAGCATGGTAAGTTGGGGTTGGGGGACAGTGGTTAGAGATGAGAATGGAGGGGATAGGCAGCAGGTTGCCAGAGCATCATAGAAGCTGGGCCAAGGCTGGGATGAGGGAGGGCTTTACATAGCAGGGTGATTATCTGTTTTATGATTTTTTTTTTTTTTTTTGAGACAGTATCTCATTCTGTTGACCAGGCTGGAGTCCAGTGGTGTGATCTCAGCTCACTGCAACGTCCACCTCCCAGGTTGAAGCGATTCTCCTGCCTCAGCCTCCTGAATAGCTGGGATTACAGGCGCCTGATACCACACCTGGCTATTTTTTGTATTTTTAGTAAAGATGAGGTTTCGGCATGTTGGCCAGGCTGGTCTCGAACTTCTGACCTCAAGTAATCTGCCCACCTTGGCCTCCCAAAGTGCTAAGATTACAGGCATGAGCTACTGTGCCCAGCCTGTTTCATAATTTTTAAGAAAGGAGGCCGGGAGAGGTTGGCTCACACCTGTAATCCCAGCACTTTGGAAGGCTGAGGCGGATAGATTGCTCAAATTTAGGAGTTTGAGACCAGCCTGGACAACATGGGGAAGCTCCATCTCTACCAAAAATACAAAAAAATAGCCAGGCATGGTGGTGCATGCATGCAGTCCCAACTACTCGAGAGGCTGATGTGGGAGGATTGTCTGAGCCCAGAGAGGTTGAGGCTTCAGTGAGCCATGATTGCACCACTGTACTCCGGCCTGGGCAACACAGCAAGACCCCATCTCTACAAAAAAATTAAAATGAAAAATTTTTTTTTAATTTTCATTTTTTCTTTTTTTTGAGACAGAGTCTTACTCTGTTACCCAGGCTAGAATACAATGGTGCAGTCTTGGCTCACTGCAACCTCCACCTCCTGGATTCAAGCGATTCTCCTGTCTCGGCCTCCCGAGTAGCTCGGATTACAGGCACATACCACCATGCCTGGCTAATTTTTAGGAGAGATGGTGTTTCACAGTGTTGGCCAGGATGGCTGCCCTGTTGTCCTTCCCTCCGCAGACCCTTATGCCTTGTTCAGAGCACGAAGAAATAGCAGCAGGGATGTCTACCAGCCACCTCTCACCACTGCCATTGAGAAGATGAAAACTACTCACCTCAAGGAACAGAAAGCATTTGCCCTCATCAGGGAGATCCTGGGTAGGCAATCTTCCCGCTCACTGGCCTCAGCACAGCATGAAATAGACAGACACACTTACTGTGCTATCTTTAATAAGTCCCGCTCCGCTTCTGGGCCTCAGTTTCCCTGGATATCAGCACACTCTATCTTCTCCACGACACTTAAAATCCTTCAGTGGCCCCTCATGACCCTTAAGACAAAACCCAAACCCCCTCCTGTGGCTCCACCCACCCCAAGTCCCCACTCCTGGCTCCTGTGCCCTACTTCGGCCTCTCACTGGCTTCTGCAGCACCTGGGACCTATGCCCTGTCCTCACCCCAGGCGTCTGCCCAGACACTTCATCTCATCGGCCTGGAGTGTGCTCACTCCTCCTCCCCAGCTTTTCTTCTGGCTAATTCCTCTTATTCTTCTTTTTTATTTTAATTTTTTTGGAGACACAGTTTCACTGTGTCACCTAGGCTAGAGAGCAATGGCAAAATCTCAGCTCACTGCAACCTCTGCCTCTGGGGTTCAAGCCATTCTCACACATCAGCCTCCTGAGTAGCTGGGATCAGAAGCTTGCGCTATCACACAGGGCTAATTTTTGTATTTTTAGTAGATACAGGGTTTTATCATGTTGGCCAGGCTGGTCTCGAACTCCTGACCTCGGGTGACCTGCCCACCTCGGCCTCCCAAAGTGCTGGGATTACAGGCATGAGCCACCACGCTCAGCCTTTTTAAAGATTTTTAAATTTTTTATTGTTTTGTTTTTGTTTTTATTTTTCAACTAGCATGGTATATTGGGAGGCCTGGATTTCAATTTTTTATTTTATTTTTTGAGACACGGTTTTACTCTGTCATTCAGATTGGAGTGCAGTGACACAATCTCAGCTCACTGTTACCTCCACCTCCCAGGTTCAGGTGATTCTCTGGCCTCAGTAGCTGGGACAACAAACGCACACCACCATGCCCAGACAATTTTTATTTTTTCAGTAGAGATGGGGTTTTGCCATGATGATCAGGCTGGTCTTGAACTTCTGACACAAGTGATCCGCCCTCCTTGGCTGCCCAAATTGTTGGGAGTACAGGCATGAGCAACCGCACCCAGCCAGTGCTTTCTAATATTAACTGACCCCCTCATGACAACTCTAGGTTGTAGAATTGTTATTCCCATTTCACAGATGGGGAGAGTGAGGCATAGAGGAGTAGAGTCACTTGTCAAGGGCACCTGGATGGGATGTGGCAGAGTTGGGATTTGGACCCAGGCAGGATATCCCATGGTCTGTGACTTTACTCCTCTCCGCTGCCTCTATAAAGACTGGTTCCATTGTCACCAGAAGGGCAAGGGGCTGGTCTAGGAGGCCTTTCCATTTCCTGACCTGGACTGGGTGGGAGTCACAGATCCTGCCTGACCCAGGGCTGTGCCTCCCTTCCCAGCATACCTGGGCTTCCTGTGGATGCTGCTGCTCGTGGCCTACGGGCACAGGGACCCCAGCGCCTACCACCTCAACAGACACCTCGAGCACAGCTTCACCAGGGGCTTCTCAGGTGTGCTGGGCTTCCGAGAGTTCTTTGAGTGGGCCAACACCACGCTCCTGAGCAACCTGTACGGTCACCCCCCAGGTAAGTCCTGCAGCCCTGGGGCTGTGTCAGCCTCCTACTGCCTGCTCCTGGCTAGGAATAGATACAAGGCACCGGCAGCATCAGCCTCATAAGAAAACCAGGCTGGGCGTGGTAGCTCTCACCTGTAATCCCAGCACTTTGGGAGGCTGAGGCAAGAGGATTGCTTGAAGCCAGGAATTTGAGATCAGCCTGGCAACATGGCAAGACCCTCCTCTATGAAAAATACAAAAATTAGCCAGGTGTGATGGCTCATGCCTGTAGTCCCAGCAACTCCGGAGGCTGAGGTGGGAGGACTGCTTGAACCCAGGAGGTGGAGCCTGCAGCAAGCCAAAATTGTACCACCGCACTCCAGCCTGGGAGACAGAGCAAGACCTTGTCTTAAAAAGAAAAGAAAGAGGCCAGGTGTGGTGGCTTATGCCTGCAATCCCAGAACTTTGGGAGGCTGAGGTGGGTGGGTCACTTGAGATTGGGAGTTCTAGACCAACCTGACCAACATGGTCAAACTCTGTCTTTACTAAAAATTCAAAATTAGCCGGGCATGTTGACCATGACTACAGCCATGCCTGTAGTCCCAGTTACTCGGGAGGCTTAGGCAGGAGAATCGCTTGAACCTGGGAATCGGAGGTTGTAGTGAGCCCAGACTGCACCACTGCACTCTAGCCTGGGTGAAGAAGCAAGACTTAGTCCAGAAAAAGACGGAGAAAAAGAAAACCAACCAATAACCACAGGACCAGATGCTGTGAAGGAGAGACTCTCAGAAGGCTGGGTGTCCACGAGAGAGGACTCTCCTCCTTCCCTTCCCCTGATGCAGAGTGGAGAACCTCCTAAATGAGCAGTAACGGAGCCTGAACCAGCTAGGCAAAAACAGTGTGCCAGGCAGAACGAACAACATGAGAAAAGCCCAGCCTCTCACCTCATGGCATGCATGTTCTTGGAACCGCGGAGTGTGGAGTTTGACTCCCATGTAGGATGTGAGTTAAGGATCACTGAGAAGCAAGCAAAGCAGGAGAGATGATGAAGATCATGAAGGATCTCAGGAATGCGTATCGCATCCTCGAGGAAATGACGCGTCATTGAAAGTGTCTACATGAGGCTGTGGCATCAACCTGTGGTATAGAATGATCACTCTGGAAGCATGTGGAAGTTAGAGCAAAGGGTGGGCAAGTTGGTTGGGCATGGTGGCTCACACCTGTAATCCCAGCACTTTGGGAGACCAAGGTAGGTGGATCACCTGAGGTCAGCAGTTTGAGAACAGCCTGGCCAACATGGAGAAATGCTGTCTCTGCTAAAAATACAAAAAATTAGCCAGGCATGGTGCCAGGCACTTGTAATCCCAGCTACTCAGGAGGCAGAGGCAGGAGAAGCACTAGAACCCGGGAGGCGGGAGTTGCAGTGAGCCAAGATCACGCCATTGCACTCTAGCCTGGGCAACAAGAGTGAAAGTCTCTTTCTCTCTCTCAAAAAAGGCGGGGGTGGGGAAGTTAGGATTCTGGGGACACAGGATGAGGGCTGGTGCAGGGATAAGGGACAGTGGTGATGGAGAGAAGGGGATGGGGACATAAGACATGGAAAAAGTAGGATGGATGGGATGTGGTAACCACTGGGATGGCGGATTGAGGAGACAGGGCACAGGCGTGTCCAGGGTGATGACAGGGAGATGGGGTTCCATTCCCTAAGACAGGTTGTGCAGGAAGCACAGCAGGTTCCAGATGGAGAGACAGCGACGTCATTTGGATAAATGTAGCTTATAGTTGGCCATATACTTCTCCGGCCTGTCTCTGTAATGGGTATGCTGAAGTTCACATTAGCATTGGCTGGGGAGCTTGGAATGTGTTAAGATGATTTTGACTGCTAGATTTACCCACCTGATTTTTCTCTTTAGGCTTTATCACTGATGGGAACTCCAAGCTGGTTGGCAGTGCCCAGATTCGCCAAGTGAGGGTCCGGGAAAGCTCTTGCCCGCTTGCCCAGCAATTTCAGGCATCTCTCAACGGATGCCATGCCCCATATTCCCTGGATGCTGAAGACCTGGCTGACTACGGGGAAGGCTGGAATGCCTCCACGCTCAGTAACGGCAGTAGCTATCCCCAGGCTTGGCAGTACCAGAGCCAGAGCCAACGTCGAGGGTATCCTATCTGGGGCAAACTTACTGTGTACCGGGGAGGAGGCTACGTGGTCCCTTTTGGGGCTGATCACCAAAGCACATCAAGGTGAGGCTGACTGGATTCATTTGCTAGAGTCCACATCTGATTGGGGAATGTAGTCTTCTTTTTTTTTCATCTGGGCGCAGGTGGGCTAAGGCCAAAAAGGGCATTAGCCGTAACGTAGTCTTCAAAACAGGGCAGAGCCACCTTTATTCAGGTCATTGTGGGAGAGCCTGGAGGATTCAGAATCATGCAGGTTGTATTTTCAGGCCCCTGGGAACCGAGCCATCTCAGAATTGGAAGGAAAGTCTCTTTCTGGCATTTACAGCCTGGTTGCCTCTCCTAGAGCCAGTCCAGGGGATGGGGAGCTCACTACCACTCAGAACAGTCCACCATTAGACAAGAGGGAAGTAGTTAAGTTGAGACAGCATCTCGCTCTGTTGCCCAGGCTGGAGTGCAAGCAATTCTCCTGCCCCAGCCTCCTGAGTAGCTGAGATTACAGGTTAGAGACAGGGTTTTACCATGTTGGCCAGGCTGGCCTCAAAAACTCCTGGCCTCGGGTGCTCTGCCCGCCTCAGCCTCCCAAAGTGCTGGGATTATAGGCATGAGCCACTGCATCCAGCCTTTTTTTCGTTTTTTGAGACAGAATCTCACACTGTCCAACGAGCTGGAGTGGCACCATCTTCGCTCACTGCGGCCTCTGCCTCCTGGGTTCAAGTGATTCTCCTGTCTCAGCCTCCCACGTAGCTGGGATTACAGACATATACCACTATGCCCAGCTAATTTTTTTTTTTTCTGTCACCAAGGTTGAGGTCCAGTGATGGGGTCTTGGCTCACTGCAACCTCCGCCTCCCTGGATTCCCCTGTCTCAGACTCCTGAGTAGCTAGGATTACAGGCATGTGCCACCTCACCGGCTAATTTTTGTATCTGTAATAGAGATGGGGTTTCACCATGTTGGCCACGCTGGTCTTGAACTCCTGACCTCAGGTGATTACCCACCTAGGCCTCCCGAAGTTCTGGGATTGCAGGTATGAGCCACCACACCAGGTATTAACACCATGGCTCTCAAATTGCAAAAGGCATCTGAATCCCCTGGCAGGCTGATCAAAACATACATTCTGGACTCCCCCGAGAGTTTCTGACTCAGCAGGTCTAGGGCAGGCCTGAGAATCTGTTTCCAACAAGTTCCCAGGTGATGCTGATGCTGCTGGTGTGGGACCACACTTTAAGAATCTCTGCTCTAATGGCCGGGAGATGAGGGGTGCCACCCTACCACAGCATGGGCTGCAAAACGTGACCACTCCCAGGAGGAGCCCTGGTGGCCTGGTGGCCCAGGGAACAGAGCAGAGGCAAAGGGAGAAGTTGAGACAGGAAGCTCTGGCCTCGGTCAAAGGGCTGCGGGGACATGGAGCCCCTGCAGCGTGGAAATGCCCCAGCGCCACTTTTTCCCACAGAATTCTCCGCTATCTCTTTGACAACACCTGGCTGGATGCCCTGACCAGAGCTGTGTTTGTGGAGTTCACTGTCTACAACGCCAATGTCAACCTGTTCTGCATTGTCACGCTGACGCTAGAGACCAGCGCCCTGGGTGGGCAGCCTCGCCTGGGAGCCTCTGCAGGGCCCCAGAAGACAGATACGCCTTCCCCTGGGCTGGGGCTCCTGACCTACCTGGGCGCAGCCACCCAGGGCCAGAGCTGCAGGGCAAATAGTTGTTTAGTGAATCTGGGTGTGGGTCTTGGTTATCCTTGCAGCCATGCATTCCTGGGTCCCCAAAGGCAAAACATTAGGACCCTCCACCCTAATTTCTCCCATCTTTCTGGCCTTGTCTCCCAAGTGATCCTAAAGAAACCCACTGAGGGTCCAAAGGCTTCCCAGTCTGCTGGGGTTGGGGTGGCGAGCTGGCAGTGACAGGTGAGGGAGAATGTGACCTGGTAACAGATCACATCACCTAATGTAACATTTTACCAAACATCAGTGCATACCATGAAGTACATTTTACATCAGAATCCAGCACACATGCAACCAAGATGAAACGTTCACAAATAACATGTACTTTAACTCCATGAAGCCGGGCATGGTGGCTTGTGCCCATGATCCCAGCACTTTGGGAGGTCAAGGTGGGAGGACTGCTTGAGCCCAGGGGTTCAAGACCAGCCTGGGCAACACGGTGAGACCCGGTCTCTACAAAATTTAAAAAACTACACGTGATGGGCTCTCATATTTTGGGTTCTATTTCTTCTTCCCCATGCCTCCTTCCCCTCTTAAAATGCTGATCACGGTCTACTAAACACCAATCTACAGTCTGTTCAGCTAATGATCAATTTGCCTAAAAGCCAACCTCCTCACCATTAAATATCAAATTTTTAGAAAATATTAGATTACATTTTTTATTATGAAAGTAATATATGTCTCTACAGCTACAATGACTTATAAGATGGAATAAAAAAAGAAAAAGTAACATGTTTGTGCTTTAAAAAAAATTCAGAACTATGTAAAGTGAAAAATGAAAGGCTTTCAATTTCCAGTGTTATTCCCCATTGCTGATAGTTTCTTCCAAATCCTTTTTGGGTTTGTGTATCTTTTTTTTTTTGAGATGGAATTTCACTCTTATTGCCCAGGCTGGAATGCAATGGCATGATCTCAGCTCACTGCAACCTCTGCCTCCCAGATCCAAGCGATTCTCCTGTCTCAGCTTCCCGAGTAGCTGGGGTTACAGGCATGTGTGCCACCACAGCCAGCTAATTTTTGTATTTTTAGTAAAGATGGAGTTACAACATGTTGGCCAGGCTGGTCTCAAACTCCTGACCTCAGGCGATCCACCCACCTCGGCCTCCCAAAGTGCTGGGATTATAGGCATGAACCACCGTACCCGGTGTCTGTCTGTCTGTCTGTCTGTCTGTCTCTCTCTCTCTTTTTGAGGCAGGGTCTCTCTGTCGCCTAGGCTGGAGTGCAGTTGTGCCATCATAGCTCACTGCAGCCTCAGTCTTCTAGGCTAAAGCAATCATCCTCCCTCAGCCTCCTGAGTAGCTGAGACTACAGGCACGTGCCACTATGCCTAACTAATGTTTTTTACTTTTCATGGAGATGATGTCTTGCTATGTTGACCAGGCTGGTCTTGAACTCCTGAGCTCAAGCAGTTCTCCTGACTTGGCCTCCCAAAGTGCTGGGATTACAGGCATGAGCAATCACACCTGGCCCTGGATTACGTTTCTCTACACATAAAAGTATGGGTAGGGCCGGGCGTGGTGACTGACGCCTGTAATCCAAGCACTTTGGAGGCCTAGGCGGGCGGATCACCTGAGGTCGGGAGTTCAAGACCAGCCTGACCAACATGGTGAAACCCCGTCTTAAAAAAATAATTAATTAATTTAAAAAAAAGTATGGGTAGATTTCAGATCTGGTCGATTCCATAGATCACTGATGTCATCAGAGACTCAGATTGTTTCTGTTTCTCTTCATTCTGTCATCCTTGGGGCTGGCTTCCTCTCCACAGGCAGAGCCTTACTAGTCAAACTGGTTTAAAACATCATTACAGAAAAATTTTTACAATGAAAAAAAAATAAAAAGGCACTCAAATGGATGAAAAGCTACTTAAAAGGAGGTTGACTTTTTAGTCATATTGGATTTTAGGTGGACTTACCTTCAGTGAAGTGTCTTTAGATGAAATGGCTTTTTATTTATATATTTATTTTTGAGACGGAGCCTTGCTCTGTCACCCATGCTAGAGTGCAGTGGCACACTCTCAGCTCAGTGCGTACTCCGTCTCCCAGGTTCAAGCGATTCTTCCACCTCAGCCTCTTGAGTGCCTGAGACTGCAGAGGTGTACCACCAGGCCCAGCTGATTTTTGTATTTTTAGTAGAGACGAGGTTTACAATGTTGGCTAGGCTAGTCTCGAACTCTTTTTTTTTTTTCTTCTTTTTGTTGAGGTGGTGTTTTGCTCTTTTTGCCCAGGCTAGAATGCCATGTCGCCATCTCAGCTCACTGCAACCTCTGCCTCCCGGGTTCAAGTGATTGTCTTGCTTCTGCCTCCTGAGTAGTTGGGATTACAGGCGCCTGCCACCAAGCCAGGCTAATTTTGTATTTTTAGTGGAGACAGAGTTTCACTGTGTTGGCCAGGCTGGTCTCAATTCCTGACCTCAGGTGATCCGACCTCCTTGCCTCCCAAAGTGCTGGGATTATAGGCTTGAGCCACCACACTCTTAACCTCAGGTGATTCATCCACCTCAGCCTCCCACAGTGCTGGGATTATTACAGGCGTGACCCATTGCACCTGGTCCAAAATGGCTTTAAATGAGCCATCTGGGCGTGAATTGTCATTATATGGGTGGATGTGCTTTATCTGGAGGTGTCTGTGCCCAAAAGGCCAACACCAAATGCGGACAGAAGGGGAGGACCTTCCCCTGCAGCCCCTCCACCCCTTCTGGTGCATCCGCTGCCTTCAGTGTCTGCCATGTGTCCATGTTCAGTCCTTTGGGTGTAAAGGAACTTTGGCTTTTCCTTGGCCCCGATCAGACCTCCAGGGCTTGCTTGAGCTTGAGACATCTGACCTGATGGCTCCCGGTCAGAAGCCAAGGCTCTGAGCGAGCAGGTGGTCTGGAGTGAGCAGAGCGCCCTCTGTTCCCCAGGCACGTTCTTTGCACACGCGGCCTTCCAGAGCCTCCGCCTGTACCCCTTCACTGACGGCTGGCACCCCTTCGTGGTGGCGGCAGAGCTCATCTACTTCCTCTTCCTCCTCTACTACATGGTGGTGCAGGTAAGAGGCATGCTGGTAGCTCATGAGCAGGGGTTGGGGTGCAGGGGTGCCTGATGCCTACCCAACCCCTCTCCTTTTCCTTGTAAGTGAAGTGGGAACGGTTTGTTGTTGTTGTTGTTGAGATGGAGTCTGCTCTGTTGCCAGGCTGGAGTGCAGTGGTGCAAGTCTTGGTTCACTGCAACCTCTGCCTCCTGGGTTCCAACAATTCTCCTGCCTCAGCCTCTCAAGTAGCTAAGGTTACAGACAGGCACCACCACATCCAGCTGATGTTTGTATTTTTAGTAGAGACAAGGTTTCACCACAGCCAGGATGGTCTGGATCTCTGGACCTTGTGATCTACCTGCCTCGGCCTCCCAAAGTGCTGGGATTACAGGCGTGAGCCACCGCACTTGGCCTAAATTATTTATTTTTAACTGTGGAAAATATACATAAGATGAAATTGACCATTTTAACCACTTTTAAGTATTCAGTGGTGTTAGGTCATTGTACAACTGTCGTTATTGTCCATCTCCACATGGATGAACCCTTTTCATGTTGCAAAACTGTAGCCAGCCAGATGCGGTGGCTCACGCCTGTAATCCCAACATTTTGGGAGGCTGAGGCAGGCAGATCACCTGAGGTCAGGAGGTCGAGACCAGCCTGGCCAACAAGGTGAAACCCCATCTCTACTAAAAATATAAAAATTGGCTGGGTGTGGTAGCACATGTCTGTAATCCCAGCTACTCGGGAGGCTGAAGCAGGAGAATCGCTAGAACCTGGGAGGTTGCGGTGAGGCGAAATGACGCTACTGCACTCCAGCGACTGGGCGACAGAGTGAGCCTCCATCTCAAAAAAAAAAAAAAAAGAATTTTCTGGGGTTTAAATACCCTTTAGAGGTTTCCATTGGTTACTTCATGTACTCCCTATGTAAATGAAGAGGCTAAAGTGAAGGTACAGAGTCATGTACTTGGTGTACACCCTATGTAAATGAGAGGGTCTTTCCTGTCATAGCTGAAGTGTTTCCAGTTGACTTCTTAGGTTCCCTGCATTCAGCTCCTTTCATCCTGCTTCAGTGGGTCTTGGGGAGAGGCCCGTTTACTCTGTGCATGGGGGCAAGGGCTGGGGGATCCTCCTGCCAGAGGGCCCTCCAGGTGGGGAGGGAGCAGCCCTCGGGGGAGGGGGCAGTCATGGCCACAACCTCAGGCTCCTTTTCCAGGGCAAGCGCATGAGGAAGCAGACGTGGGCCTATTTCCGCAGCAAGTGGAACCTTTTGGAGCTAGCCATCATCTTGGCTAGCTGGAGTGCCCTGGCGGTGTTTGTGAAGAGGGCTGTCCTGGCTGAAAGGGACCTCCAGCGCTGCCGGAACCGTAAGGAGGAGTAAATGGCCATCTTCAGCCCCCCGGCTCCCCACATGGGCCCCCCGTTCCTCCAGCTCCCTTTCAGACCCAGGGGTCAGGAGGCTTTGGATGCTGCAGATCCTCGGTAGGTAGAGGGACACTCCTAAGAGACATAACTCTAGCTGCCACCTAGATTCAGGTGTGGGGCCACAAGTGTGTATGATTGGAAAGGACTCAGACAAAACAGAACAATAACTTGTGCAAATCTTACCAAAACATAGGATCGTGTGGCGTCCTGCTTAGACTCTTCTTGGCCTTTTTGGGAGGCCCTTTGCAAGTATTAGGGCCCCAGTAAGCTCACGTCTGCTACCATGTACTAAGTGTCCACTGTGTGGTAGACAGGAAGTATTCACCTAGGGACTCATCATCAGAATTGATGAAGGTCGGTGTTATCATCACCCCATTTTACAAAGACATTGAGGGCAGGGGGTGGTGGCTCATGACTGTAATTCTAGCACTTTGGGAGGCCAAGGTGGGTGGATCACTTGAGATCAGGAGTTCGAGACCAGCCTGGCCAATCCGGTGAAACCCTGTCTCTAATAAAAATATAAAAATTAGCTGAGCATGGTGACACACGCCTGTAATCCCAACTACTTAGGAGGCTGAGGCAGGAGAATGACTTGAACCCAAAAAGCGGA